ACTGCAGGCTGGGCCTTCCTGCTCCAGCACATTCAGGATCTGAATATTCCCAGATTTTTCTGGCCCCCCTTCTGCCAACCCCACCCCCTATCCTGCTCCCCCATGGGCCTCTTGGCTTCCCCTGCAGCCCAGCTGAGCTGGACGCCAGCTCCCAGACTCCACAGTGCAGCTGAGTCGCGCACCAGCTCCCGTCCTCCCTCCCCGCCGCAGCCCAGCTGGGCTGTGCATGAACCCCCTCCCTCTGCATCACTCTGGGCTCCCAGCCCCCCACCCGCTGCAGTGCACTGGGACTCTGATCCTGGAACATCTGTGGTCCTTCCAGACCATGAATGTTGCTGGACCAGAGAATTCCAGTTTATAGAGGTGCAACCTGTAGTATTTGACCTGGAGAAACCACTGCTATGGGTGAGAGCAGGGTTTCCCAAAATATGGCCTGTGGAGCCCTGGGGCTCCATGCAACAGATCCAGGGGTTCCATGAGAAAATATTAATGACTGTTGTATGACCCGGTTATTTTGTTACTACAGCCTCTTCCCGACTTACGAACTGGTTGCAGACCAAGCAATTGGCCGTAACTCGGTTCGTTTGTCAGTCGGACCCTATAGAGTTACGTGCGATCGCGCTGTTCATAAGCGCGGATCACGTTCGTAAACTCGGGGTCCACCATTTACAACAGCTTCGGTTGTAACTGCAAACGGTCGTAAGTCGACCGTTCGCAACTCGGGGACCGGCTGTAATTTTCTGAGTCCAAAACTTTGTCTATTTGGGTTCCTAGTGAATTAAATATCACAATATTTTAAGGGCTCCACCAAATTTTCAGGACCCTGTAGGGGACCGGTGGTCAAAAATGTTTGGGAAACCCTGGGCTAGAGAGTAAGTTTGTCTTCATGGCCCAGTCAGGGCTCTAGATTACCTCTAATGCCATTTGTAATGGGAGTGTAAGTGGCTGGCTGGTTGCATTCTCAGAATGGACTGCCACCCACAAACCCCTTTGCAGAGAGCACCAAACGGCAGTCACATGGTGATGACTTTTGGTCACCGCTGCCCTGAGCCAATTACTGGATCCTACATCCCACCTGTAGTTCTCTTGCTGTGCAATCCCTTTCCTGTCAGCTTCTTCATGGCTTGGTTTGTGTTCACTAACAGATGGTTGGCAGACCCTGAGCCAGAGTCAGCACTGGGGAAAAAGGCCACAGCTCCACTGAAGTAATGGATCTGAGTTTTGTGAAACCCGCACTGAGTTTGTCCCAATAATTCTGCTTGTAATTCATCAAAAACTTGATGTATCTCCTTTGTGATCTCTAGTCTGGATTATGGGAAGGTGTAAACCCCGGGTCCTTAGTTCGCCATAGATATTAGAATTTTTCTTTATGCACTGAATTCAAGGTTGCAAAGTAATAATGAATTATTGACCCTAGCTAGAATGTATTGGGTAGTGAACAAAGAGTAGACTGACAATAAGACACTCAATGGAGGTATATTGAGTTATAAGAATGGTTACTATAGAAACACTAAAGAACTCCCAGGAAGCCCTTACTAATGCAAACCAAACGTGTGGGCATGGGATGAATTGGGATGTTATTAATTCATTAATCCAGTCAGTAAATGGAAATGAAAAATTCATGGATTGCAACAAAGCAATGACATTTCCCTGAGTCCCAGGAGCTGAAGCCCGAGGGTTTGATCCAGGAAAGTGAGGCCTCTGACTAGCTGATGTGCATAGTACAGCAACATGGGCTCTGGCACCATGCAGTATAAATGGACAAGCCCAGTGGGGCTGCCTGCATGGAACTGAAGTACGAACTTGGCCCAAAATGAACAACAGAGCCTGTTCCTGGCAAAAAAGCTCAGACACTCAATGTGGACCAGTCTTCTATGTGACCTGGTCCATTCTGGAAAGCTTAGGGCCCCAAGGAGTCAGCCAGGCAGGCGTTTTTACCGGGGGGAGCCTGGACCTCCCTGTGCAATGTGGAGAGTTTATGGACCTCCATGGGAATATGCAAATCAGTTTTTGATTCACCTTGAATAAAATGAGGGAGAAGGGATGGCACAAAAACCCTGCAGAGGCAAGTTTAAGGCTCCAGAATTTTCGTAACTTATTTTCTCATATACTCAAAACCTGGATGAAATTGGGTTTTTTTTCCCCTGTGGAGAATTCTGCGTTTGCTGGTAGACGCTGCTATTTTCCAGCGTGCCAGACAAATGAAGGCAGAGAGCGTATATTTATCATACAGAGATATGTTCCTCGTGGAATTCATAGCTGGCACTGAACCCAGTGTAACAAAGAAAAGAAGGTTGGCCTCTATTTTGCACCAATCTTTTAGCCCAGGCGTGTCTGAGCAAATTGGTTTCAGCTAGAATGACCCCAGTAGTAGAGCTCTCTGTAGTTGGGATTGGTCCTGCTTTGGGCAGGGGGCTGGACTTGATGACCTCCTGAGGTCTCTTCCAGCTCTAGGATTCTATGATTCTACCATGCGCTGTGCTCTGCTTATCAGATGCTGGGCTGTGGTGGCATGAGGTGAGAAAGAGAAAAGGAAGACTAGAACGGGAAACCCCAAAGCCAGGATACAAGGAGGAGCCATGGGGTCCCGGGCCCTGCTCGGAGCAGTGAGACTGTGTGCAGCAGAGGGCACAGGATGGAAGAGATGCACGATTCCACGTCCCTCACATCCTTCAACTCCTTATGTCACATCCCCCAAAGGAAAGGGACAGGAGCACTGTCTGGAAACTCGTGACTCTGATTCAGCTAAGGAGCGTGGCTGGAACTGCGGCGAGGCCAGAGGAACCAAGTGTTGATGGGGTGAAGGGAGGAAGGGTGCGCCCGTGCTAGTATTTCTTTTGGCCCTGGCTCTGCACTTTTAATCTGCCCTTGGACGAAAGGTTCCTGTGGCTGCTTGCCTATGCAGAAGGATTTCAAATGTCCCCTCTTCTGTGAACGCAGATCCCCCCTCAAAAAAACCCAGTGTCCTCATACATAAAGAGATTGACCTTTACAACCACAGAACTCAGACGGGCATGGCCTGCCCAAGCCATCTCTGCCCTTGTTCTGCCAAAGGACAGCAGGTGGGTTTCTACAATTTACTGCATGTGGGTCTCTGCACGAGATAGGGAAAACCGAGACCTTGCCTCTCTTTTGTGCACACACTAACATTCCTGGAAACACTCTTCATAGGTGCCAGGGTTTGCTCTGATTTCCATCACCAAAATTTCTCCTCTTCCCAGCAGTAGTGGACTGGTTGCTTCCTTCCACCCCAGAGGTGGTTGCATTTTAATGGTGCTGTACATATAGGCTGTGTCTAGACTGGCAAGTTTTTCCACAAAATCATCTGATTTTGCGGAAAAACTTGCCAGCTGTCTACACTGGCCGCTTGAATTTCCGGAAAAGCACTGACGATCTCCTCTAAAATCGTCAGTGCTTTTCCAGAAATACTATGCTGCTCCTGTTCGGACAAAAGTATTTTTCCGAAAGACTTTTGCGCAAAAGGGCCAGTGTAGACAGCATAGTATTGTTTTCCGCAAAAAAGCCCCGATCGCAAAAATGGTGATCGGGGCTTTTTTGCGGAAAACCATGTCTAAATTGGCCATGGACGCTTTTCCGCAAAAAGTGCTTTTGCGGAAAAGCATCCTGCCAATCTAGACGTGCTTTTCCGAAAATGATTTTAACGGAAAACTTTTCCGTTAAAAGCATTTTCGGAAAATCATGCCAGTGTAGACGTAGCCATATAGTTTGGGTAGCACTTTGGGATTTCTTAGGATTCAGTATGCTGGAGAGACAGAAATTGTTATAGAAATTCACGTTGTATTTTCTGTATATCAAATGCTGCTGCTAATGTTATAGACAAGGTATGAGTTTAAAGTCTGCTTGGTTAGCATCTCTCTCCTTTCTGCCTTTCAGTTCTTGGTAATCTCTTTCTTCCTAACTAGTATTATTATACCAGCACCCGACACCCTAATATCAGAGCATCTTCCAAGTGTAAGAAAGACGACAATATCTTTCTCTTCCACCCCCATAGCCACGAGGTACGGAGGAGTAGGAGTTTTGGCGTGTGTTAAGATACTATTGCAGGAAAATTAGTTGAGGGGAGATGGATATCAAAATTCTGGGCAGAAGATTGTCCCAATAAAAAAACTGTATATGTCTGGAGGCGTTAACTTGGCATGCTTGGTGTGCAGGGATGTTAGTGTGGGGGCGTTTGTACACCTGAATATCAGTAATATGAAGAATGCCTGGGGGAAAGCAGATGATTTCATCCTGCTTTTGCAGTCAGAACGTAGCTCCTATGAAATACCATCTGGCTGATCAACTTTAAAAATCCTTTTCACTGTCATACACGCTGTAGAACCATGATACTGTAGCTGTTTCCGGAGGCTGAGGGGGAGAAAAATCAATGGGGTTTTAAACCTAAGGAGACAGATCCTGTTGGTCTGCAACAGAACAGATACGGCAGGGGCAAGACTCTCTTCTCCCGTCAGCCCCAGCAGTTTGGAACGTTACCTGGAGTGGGGCAAGTATTTAACTTGGGATTTGAATTGGACCTTTTCATGACCAGAAGAGGAGGATTGGCAGCAGAAGGAGAGTCGGAGATTGGGCATGTGGTGGGGGGTAATAGAGCTGTTTAAATCTGTCTCTGCTGGAAGAAATCTCTCTTGTTTTCACCACCAATGCTCCCCAGTTACAGCCGCTCTGTGGGCATTTGAGTCTTCTCGGGACTGACAGGAGCATTAAGCTGTGGGGAGGGCTTGGCAACAGAACTCTACAGAAATATCCAGCAGGTGATTCAGGCAAAGGTGTGAGCATCGTGCCCACCTGGCGGGACCCTGTATTCTCGCATGAGCTGCTGTTTGGAAGGCTGCTGGATTCTTGGTGCAGGGGGTTTAGTGCCACAGGAGACCCCTTTGAACTTTTCTGCAGGTGTCACAGAAGCCAGGGCCCTGCCTCTGCCACGGGGACGCTGCCAGCTTCACTTCTCTTCTGATTTGCCTCCCTGTCATGTTTGCCAGGATCTTCATCCCCAAGAAGCACCGGCAGCGCTTTGACGAGGTGGTGTCCCAGAGCCTGATCAGCAAGCTCTGCCGGTCCAAGAGTGAGCAGCACACCAACCGGCTGAGGCGCAGCCGCAGCGAAGACCACCAGGAGCGGCTGCTGGTGTCGACCCGGGCAAGCTCAGTGCCTCGGAGTCATGAGGAAGCCGGCAAGGGTTTGCGGAAGACCACTTCTCTGATCGCCAGCAGCGTGGGGTCAGGGGCTGCCCGCAGGTAACACTCTTCCCTTAATCTTCAAATGCCTAGTTGGTTGCTCCTCATATAAAAAAGCTTGCTTCTTGTGAAGGAGCAGGCACATTGCAATGGGGAGAGACATGGGGAAAAGGGAAGAGAAAAAAGACAGGTCTTTGGTGGCTCATTGTAAGTGAATTTAGTATACAAATGAGACTGAGGGTATGTCCATACTGCAGAGTTTTTTTGGAAAAACAATTGTTTTTCCAAAAAAACTTCACTTATGTTGACACTGCAATCGCGTTCTTTCGAAAAAAATTGAAAGAACTGAGGGGTTTTTCTGACATTGGTAAACCTCTTTCTACGAGGAAGAATCCTTTTTCCGAAAGAGCTCTTTCAGAAGAAGGCGTGTGTGGATGGGGAAGAGGGAGTTCTTTCGAAAGAAGAGGAAAGAGAAAAAAGCACAGGTGCCCTCATGGCCACTCTGTCGATAGTAATCACAGCTTAAATGTGTGAGAGCATCCATTCAGTGTGGACGCTATCTTTCAAAAAAGCAGATCACTTTTTCGATGCGCTTTTGCAGTGTGGGCGCTTTCTTTTGGAATAAGTTTTCCAGAAGATCTCTTCTGGAAAAGCTTCTGAAAGAAGCCTGCAGTGTAGATAGCCTGAACTGAGTTGAACTATATCTCCCCTTTGAACTCTGGGAAAGTTTGGGCTCCACCTCACAGCTCAGGTCCATCTCCTGGTAGATCCCTTACCATCAGTTGGTTTTCTAAAGCTTGTTTCAATGAATTCTTTCTGGAAAAGAGGATGTGCTCTGCTAGGGCTGTGGATTTCCTTCCTGCACTGTCCAGCTGTGATGCCACGCTGGTCGCTGTCCTAGGCTGCATGCACAGTGTTCAGTTTCTCTGAGCATATGTTGGCATGTACGATTGCTGGAATCCTCAGCCCCATCTGTGGGAGGCCACGAGAACCTGTAGCAGGAACTGAGGGGAGGGAGGAGAGGTCTGAAACACCCATTTCCATGGCCCCATGTGGCTAGACCTAGGTATGCTTGGAGACCTCCAGGAGCCTGTCTGAACCATTCACCAGAACATGTGTTCCCTTCCCCTCTGATCGCTTCCCACTTCACAAAAGGATGTGCTGGCCTCTTTTGTTATTGTTGTTGCTGTCATCGCAGCTGGTGAATCCTCCTACGGGGCTGGAAAGCCACCATGAGATGCTGAAATTGCTTACTCACCTACCAGCATCTTATTGATGGGCACAAGCATGGAACAAAACCCTCTCCAGGCAGAATTCCCTGGGAGCTGGGACCAGACCATGTCCTCCCCAGGTGGAGAGGAGCCTCCAACACTTCTCCCACAGTCCTGAGTCTCCCCTCTGGAGTTTCTTTGACTCTCCGCCTTATCTACGTCACAGTGAGTGGCCCTCCGGCCAGGTGAGCAGGACTGGGCGGGACTCCCTCCAGAGCTTACAAATGCTGTCCCCATAGTGTCTGCAGATTGACACAAGCTACGGGCTCACTGTGGCCAACATGGCACTGCCAGTTCCTGCCACTCGAGAGTGAGGAACTGAGTTCAAATCTCTGGCTGATGCTAACTCTAAGGAGACGTACCACAGTAACACCAGAGTGCTGGGCCAGTCCAGACCAGTCAGTGTTTTCAGTCAAAAACGGTCTCGCCTCAACCGAAAGCATAAAGAGGCCCGTCCTGCCCATGGGAGCCACAGGGCTGGGATTGTCTAAGAACAGAGAGAAAGTTGCAGGCAGGGAGGAATGAAGGTGACGCCTTGGAACCTGCCACGGTGGGTTACACACAGATCCTCTCTCGCCACTGCGCCCTTGTTGTGTTTCACAGATTCAGCAAAGTAGATTCTGCCCTCGTGGCAGTTGGCCGGAGTTTGGTGCACAGAAGCCAGAGATGGTACTAATCAAAATGTCTTGCCGTCCATCTCCCTGCCAGGGCAGGATCTGTCTTTGTAACAAACGTTTTCAAGCCCTATGCAGTTTTAAGTGCTCCGAGTGAGAGAGCTTCCATCACTTCCCTGAGACAGTTCCACAATCTAACAAACCTCCCCTGAGGGGGATATTTTTTTAATGCTCACCCCAGCTTTTCCTTGCTTGATTAGTTTTAGAATCCCCGCAAGTAATTTCCCCCCTCCCCCCTTGGTGTTTGTATCATTAGACGACTGTGTCTGTGTGTCTTCATGTTCAGAATTCAGTATTTCTGTTAACCTCCCCTTTGATTAATTTGTTAATTAATTGCTTAGAAAGGAAATTTCCAAAGGAGAGCAAGAGTGGGCGTTCAGACTCTCCTTTCAGGACCTGAGCAGCTCTGGCTGCTGCTGACAACCTTTCCTCTCTCCTCAGCCCCCCCTCCGTTCTGAGCCAAAAGCTTTCATCTTAATCAATGCATGCTAAGGCTGTTAGAAAGTTTTGATTGGTATTGCAGACAGCTTTTCTGGCTCCAGAAGTGAGGGCTCAGTCATGTGCGTCCCAGGACCAGCATTTCCTATGCTGCAGGTGCAGAGGGAATAGTTTCTTCATTTCAGTTTATTCAGCTAATTCCGTTTGATGACTAGTTCATTCAAAGCGAAACCAACTGGGCCTTGAAATAACTGGGAGGTTTGCTCCATTGCATGACTCAAATCTAGGTGAAAGAGGATGAGATCTTCTGATTATAAAATATTAAGGGACATGGTGAGCAGAAACCAGGCGGGGGGGATAGAATTGCTGGCTCCCTGGGCAAAGGGGGTGCAGCCTGTGCTCCTGGAAGGGGCTGGACCTTGGGGAATGGGCAGGGCTGGGGGCAGCCAGGCCTCAGGGCCTCCCAGACAGAGCCAGGTCCTCTCCCCCAATCAATCTTTTGTGCCTCTTGGGGCTCCAGTCACCGGCTACCCTTTGGAATTGCCAGGCCCTGGGGCAGTTGCCCCCTTTGCCTCCACCCCAATCAGTGGGCCTGCCAAAAACAATTAATTCAATTCACTAGCTACAGGTAACATTTCCTTTGTTTATTAAATTAGTTTGTTTTACATTCAAAACGTATGTCGGTCAATTTTTGATATTTTTTATGTAACCGGCATATTTCAAATTGTACTTAATTAAAATTAATACTGTTTATGTGTCTTTTAAATTGGATTTGAATTCCATCAAATAGAATTTGGCACAAATTGCAAGTAAAAAATTAATCATTTGGTAAATAAGAAATGCATCATTTACCATTTTCTAACATAATAAAATATTCAAAATGTACATTGAGCTATATAATTGCTTAAATAAACATGTAACTATGGGTGTGTCTAGACTACAGGGTTTTGTTGACAAAAGTGGCCTTTTGTCGACAAAAATATACCCGAGTCTACACTACGCCGAGTTCTGTCGACATAACGTCGACAGAACTTGGCAGTTTTGTCGACAGCGGTAAACCTCATTCTACGAGGAATAACGCCTTTTGTCGACAGAATTCTGTCAACAGAAGGCGTTATTGTATCTACACTGTCCTTTGCGTCTACACTCTCATGTTGACAAAGCGGCTTGCTTTGTCGACAGAACTGGATGTAGTCTAGACGGTCTTTGTCGACAGAAGCTTTGTCAACAGTATCTGTTGACAAAGCCTCTGTCGACAAAAGCTTGTAGTCTAGACGTTCCCTATATTATGTATCCTCTTGATTATTAAAAAGAAGCACCAGATTTAGTGTAAAGGTTGAATTTAGTAGTAGAAGAACACGTTTTAATGGTTACCAACAAATGAAAGTGAACCTGTCTTTAGAAAGATACAAATGCAAAACATGATTAAAAGTGATGATTTAAATCACGAGTTTCTGACTGCTGATTTAAGCATGAGTATCATCAGAGATTTAAATCACTCCCATATTTCATCAGCTGATTTGTCCTTTACTTCAAGGGGAGCAGGGTTGTGAAGGAGGCACAACATTTTCTTAAGTGGCCATTGATTTGATGAGCCTTGATTTCCGGGTGCCCCGGGTTGAGGCAGCTGAGTGCAGGAGCACTCAGAGAGCTGGGGAGGGCTGTTGTGGACCTGCTGTAAAACCTGTGGAGGTAGAGAGTCCAGGGTGATGTACCCCTGTGTAAGGAGTGAGTGGGCAAGCTGTGTTGTTCACAGCCGCCTGATGATGTTCCAGGACTTTCTGGAGACACTCTTAACTAGCTGACTAGCTGAAGTATTCATAGAGCCCCAAGCTCCGCGGGCCTCTCACTGAGGGCTTGACAATGGAGGACTGGGGACATTCGAGGCATGGCTGGGGGAGTTCCTCCTTGACCGCTAGCTTGCTCCCTTGCCCACGTCTCCCAGCTACTGTCACTGCTTGCGCTCCTTTTCAGGTTGCCTATAATTAAAGTTTCCCCCAGTCACTGTGATCTGCTCCAGCTCACAGTGCAGGCAGGAGGTGGAGAGGGATGTGATTACGTGGGACAGGGACAAGCAGATGGTCTGCAGAGGCCCGGGCATATGTGAATTGGCCCTGCCTGGGGCAGAGACAGAGCATTTGAGACCAGCGTCTTTGTCAAATTCTTTGCGTTGTGAGGAAACGTATTACCCGTGGCCATAGTGGGAATTTGCAAGGTTGGGGGTTCCCAGATGATGTGAGTTCTATTAATTCGCCACCACCAAGCTGGTTTAGCGCTTCAGCAAGCTCTCATTTGGATGCTTAACCAGTGACTCAGTGGAACTTTCTTTAAAATTTGCCAGCAAATATTTAAGGCTTAGTAGTATTCTTCCATGTTTCACTGTAATGATTTTAACAGACATTTAGGTCTTAACATTGGTTGACTATTTAAATAAGTTTATGTTTAAAAAATAAACCTACATTTAATTTAAACCAAAAACTATGATTTGATTTAAAAAATCTTAATTTAAATTTTTAAAAGTCTGAATTTTGTTATTTAAAAAAAGCATCAATTTTATCTACCTTAAATAGAGGGCGCCCAACTCAGTGGTAGTGAAATCCCAAGTGAAAAAGATCCTTGTGAGGTATGTTGTAAGAACTGGTGTAGGTGCTGGACAATCCTAGTTCCATAACCCTCGCACCCTTCCAGAGATATCCCAAGCCAAACGTGCTGTGAGAGAGGAAGGGACTATGAAACAGGCACCACATGCGGCTTGGATGTTGATTTAATTCCTTGTTGGGTTTTGATTTTCTACCTGCAGAACTGTTCGAGTTTACAAAGGCAGCAAAAGCTTTGGCTTCACATTACGAGGACATGCCCCAGTGTGGATTGAGTCCATCCTGCCTGGTAAGGAAATCTGACGTTCCAAGCAGGTATTGAGCTTTGGACCCGAGATCTAGTGTGAATTGTTGCCAGAAACATCGGTTGGTTTTATTGCTTCAGCATCAATTCTCGTGACTTTGGTGCTGCAAGCTGCTTTGCCCCAGAGTACCTGTGTGAATGGGGCCTTTTCTAGAGAAGCCATTCTTTCACCAGGCTAACTTCCCTCAAAGCAGAGGTCCCCTGTAACTGTCACCAAACCACAGTCTGCATGTTACTTTGTTGACAGCCTTAATACATCCCAGGCTAAACGACCACACAGCTAAACAACATATTTCATTTCCTCCTGTGCTTAGGGAGCCCAGCTGAGAAGGCTGCTCTCAAACCTGGAGACAGAATCTTATTTCTCAATGGGCTGGATATGAGGTAAGATGCTGGCTGATAAAATTATCTCTGCAAAATGGCTCAAATGATGCAGCTTATTAAGCAGCAAATTTGAACAAACAAAAGGAAGGGCTTTTTCACACCACACACAGTCACCCTGTGGAACTCCTTGCTGGGGGATGTTGTGAAGACCAAAAGTATAACTGATTTTTAAAAAGATAAGTTCGTGGTCTAGGGCCGTCCCTGCTAGTGCTGGGGTTCTGTGCAGCCCAGCACTGGCACACACCCTCTGGGGGATGGGAGGAGCAGCCGCTCTGCCGAGAAGAAAGGAGGGGTTTTGAAGTTGTGAGGAGCTGGGGCTGTCCACTTTCTCAGACTGGACAGATCAGACTTGATTTGTTTCAATAGTGTCTGGTCTGTGTGATCTCGGAGAAGTGGCGATCCTGGATCAGGGCAGGGCGGGAGGCTCACTGGAGAGCCTCAGAGCAGCCCGCAGTGGCAGTGCTGGGCACCAGCCAGAGGAGTAACGGGTGGACACACTGCTGGCCAGAGAGAAGTGGTGTTTTGAGGGGACGGGGAAAGCATTGCTCCACTGGGTCTGTGGCTGCCCCCTGCTCCTCTGGAGTCCTCTGGCTTGTGCTTGCCCTGCTCGCCGCCACCTGGTGAGCAGGGGCTGGGTATAGCCCATGGCTGGGGGATGGGGTTGAGTCCAGGGTGGGGTGCGATTGGAGATGGAGCTGGGCAAGATGTGGTCTGGAGCCCGATCCAGCCCACGTAACACTTTGATCCGGCCCGTGGACGGCATCTGGCCATTTCTATTTATATCCTGCTGCCGTGCCACCGAATTTTCAGGGGATGGCTCAGGCAGCAGGATCCTATTGAAATGGCCCACGGCTCCTTTTCGAAGTGTTACCCTGGCAGGGGCCGGAGCCACAAGCCCTTTGCTGTGTGTTTAATCCAAAGCCCCCGGCCCCAGACAACTCTCCAACCCCTGCCTCTTCCTTCCAGGGGCTGGAGCCGGCCCATGACCACCTACCAAAATTCATTAAGGGACCCTCCTGCGAAAAGTATTGCCTCGCCCTGAGTGCTGGGCCCTGGCACTGAACCCGTGGGGGGCCATCCCTAGGCATATGCATCTTAGGGCACCATTGTGGTGCCCCAAATTTAGTGGTGCCTTATGCAGCTGCATATGCCTAAGGATGGCCCTGGATCGGTCCATGAATGACTATAGGTCACAATAGTCACAGATGCAGCCCCATGCTCAGTCTCTGGCTGCCAGGAGCTGGGACTGGATGGCAGGGGTGGTGGCTCATTCAATAATTGTCCTGCTCACTCCCTCTGAAGCAAAGGGCACTGCCAGGGCTCGATAAACCATCGGTCTGACCCAGTGGGAGAGCCCATAATAGTGTGAAACCGACAAGCAGGGACATGAGAGCGGTGCAAGTTTGTGAGCAAGACGTGGGAAAGGAGATGGTGGGTATGGGGGAGGGGGAAAGAGAGAGAGAAAGAATTCAGGCTCCGTGCAGTTCTGTCATGGAGCTGACAAAGACATGGATTCGGTGGCTTTCCGTGAAGTCTGCAGCAGCTGGTGAGGCTACTTGAGTGGTGGGCCCCGTGGCCAGCCATACTGGCCACTGCTGGCACAGTCCGGGGAGCTCCCGAGCAGTAGCCACTACAGCTGGCCCTGAGGAGTGCCCAAGCAGCGATCCTGGGGGCTGCCCCGTGGGGGCCGACCACATCGGCAGCTGTTGGAATGGCCAGTGGGAACTCATGTGGGTGGTCCTGGGGGCTAGCCACGCTGGCTGCTGCTTAGGCAGCTGGCCCTGGAGATTGTCCGAGCAGCATTGATGCTGGAGGCAGCCAGAGCATTAGCCACTGTCCATTGAGCACTAGTCCTCGGGGAGACCCCAGGGACCACCAGAGTAGTGGTCCCTGGGGCAGCCCAGGAGAGTTGTCCCCAGGGGTCTTGGAGCAGTGGGTCGCTGAGGCCAGTAAGCTCCTACCACTGGAACAGAGCCCCTCCAGAGCAACAGGGTTCTAGGAGCAGAGATTGATAGTGAAAGTCCCGGACAGGCCATGGTCTGTGGATTTTTGTTTACTGCCCCGTCCTCTGTCCATGACTTTTTCTAAAAATACTCGTGACTCAAGGTATAAGGCATGAAGGTCTGAGCAGTGATCCTAGCCTCATGCAAATGTCTGGTTTTGTTTTGATGTTATCATTCCTGTGAGATTGGCATTCTAGACCCTTACCTTCCATTCCCTTCATTCATTTACAGTTCATTCTGCCAGTAGCCATGCATAATGCGTGAAATACTATAAGCAATATACAGCTCTGAAATGTAACAATTCTGGAACCTCCAGCTGGAACCAAAGTCAATTCAGTCCCACAGGTTGAATAGTATGGAAGGGGCAAGGAATAAACCAATTCGGGAAACACTCCTGGAATAAGATCCTGAGCCTAGAACTACACAGACGGCAGTATTTTCATCTAGAACTCCTTTTCTTCATCTACTATTTGTGTGCAAATAAGGAGAAAAAAACAGTCCGCCTCCACCAACTCTTGACCTATTCCCATTAACAATAATGACAGCATTATTCCAGGGCTGTTTTACTGTGTAATAAGTAGAAGCGAAGCACTAGAACAGTCTGCATGGTAAAAGAGAATTAATATTTAAAGATTAAACATCTAATGCCTCTTTGGCTGGTTCCTGAGTTCTCAGTTTTCAGCTGATCCAGCAAACTTTTGGCTGAAGCAGCATCCCCAGAAAATAGCTGATTCCTATTTGTAGATTAGCCTCCCATCCTGCATTTTGGCAAACAGTGTCTTGCTCTGCTTGGACTTTTACAGGAAAAACGTGTTTTGCCCACATTGTGGATGTAGAAAGGGAAGCCGGAGGCAAGGCTCTGTAAAAGTATCATAGTAGATGGAAAGATCAGTTACAGTGGTTCCCAAACTTTTCGGCATCACGCCCCCTTTTTGATTTTTGAAAAACCCTCACGCCCCTCTCCCAACAGCAAAACTTGTTGAGCAAAAAAAAAAAGAACTGACCAGGGCAGCAAAACTTGATGGGAGGAGGGGGGACTGGGTTGCCTCGCAAACACCCCCCCACCCCCCCACGCCCCCCGGAATTTCTTCACACCCCGCCCCCAGTTTGGGAACCCATGAGTTAAGGCATCTGTCAGCATGAACTGCAGAGATGCCCGATCATTAGCCACAACACAGTCCTTGACGCCCTCCAGAAACATGCTCCATAGATATTCCACTCTGCAGGCGTGGCTGAGAACATCTCACAAAGGTCCTCTGCTCGATTTTGGTCTGCATGGAATTCATGTAACCATGAGCAGAATTTGCTCCTACGTCTCTAACACGGCTCTGGAGCATGGGGAGACTACCACTGGAGTACCATACTCTACCTCTGTCTGAGCAGCAGGCGGCGCTTATAGCCTCTGCCACAAAGATGAAGGCAGCTGTGGTCGTCTCCATTTCACACTGTGAGGTGCAGGTGCAGACTCCTGCCATTGTGCTCTTGTCTGGCTGTCCCTCCCAAACTGGTTGGCTGCCGCTTTTTTCCGGCTCGGGGTTTTGCCGGAGAAAAGCGCCAGTCTAGACGGGATCTTGCGGAAAATAAGCCCTTGAAAGTAGGAATAAGGGATCTTCCGGAAAAGGGTTTGCAATTCCAACTGGCCTCATTAGCATCCCTTTTCCGGAAAGGGGTGCCAATGTAGACACAGCCATTATGTTCCTGATAGAAGAGTCCTACTTTTCTTGTCAACCCTTTTCATATTTAGGAGACTTCGGAGATACCCCGGTCATGGAAGTTGTGTGCGATGCGGGCTCTGAAAGTGTTATTTCTGTGGCTTCTCTTTGTCTGGCTCTGCAGGAATTGCTCCCATGAGAAGGTGGTGTCCATGCTGCAGGGTAGTGGGGCAATGCCAACCTTGGTTGTGGAAGAAGGGATGGTCCATCTGCCAGTTGGTAAGATTGCTAAAGGGAAATGCACACCAGGCAGACAGGACTGAAAGCCAAGTTCACCCTTGAAATTGCCATGTCAGTGCCCAAGGGGCGGAGGGGGCATGGAGATGACTTTTCTTCAGATCTACTGAGCCTGGTGGAGGAATCTGCCACGTTTTTCCTACGTTTCCCACATTGGCCTGAGCCTGACACTGCTCCCCGGTTATCCGGAGAGTCACGGACAAAGATGAAAGGTGGTTCCTCATCACTCTGCTGCTGCCAGCCGGGTGGGACCCGTCCTGCTGTTAGATGTCTGTGCTGGCCCTTTAGAATGAGCTGTGTGCAAAACCTGTGGCGTGTGTGCCTAACTGAACATCACGTCTGTGCACAGGTTGCTGGGTATGTCATGTAGGACAGCTCACTTGAATCATTTAGCTCAGTGTTTCTCGAAGTGGGTCGCCGCATGGCTGGAAACGGCAAACCGGAGCCACTGGGAGCTGCGAGGCTCCGAGGCTATGGACCCTTTAGGTAAGCAAAGCGGGCCGGGCCCGCCAGCAGCTGTCCCGGAGCGGGCCCACAGAACACTTGGAGAAACACTGATTTACCGTAGGGAACTTGGTGAGAATGTGGAAGAGCCTTTGGAACACACGGGGCAAACTCGAGTGTTTCACCCAAGCCACTCCCCTGATTGCAGTGCAGCTGAGAGGAGTGCGTGGCCCACAATGTAGAGGTGACTGCGGTGCAGTGTAAACACAGCTTCAATGTGAACTATGGGTAGCGGGAGGGAGGGAGATCATTACAGAGTGCACCGAAGGGCTACCTTCTAGCTGCTGGTGTAAACGCAAAGGGGCATTAACTAGCTCTCTTTCAAATAGGAGGACAGTAGCATGAAGTGGGTACGTGTTAGTCCCTGCCAGCAGCATGCACGGGGCGGGTTAGAGCACAGCACTTTGGTGTGTTCTGCAGTTCACACCTCCACTGGCTGTACTCCTGCGCAGTGTAGACAAGCCCCAAGTGGTTTCCAAAGCCAAGTAAGAGCAGGCTTGGTCAGTGTTTTGTTGGAAGGCTGCCAATCAATACCTGGCCCTAGGCAGTACTATTGGGATTCCATGAATTCCCTCTTTCCTTTCCCTCCCAATTGAATCCCTCCAGAGCCGAGTGTTAGGGGCTCTGTACTGTTAAAGTTGCTATCTTTTGGATATGAAGGAAAACCGGAATTCTGGCTACTTAGCAATAACAATAACAATTAATAATAGCCACTTCGTAGATAGCATTTTGTGTCAGTAGAGATCCCAGTGCATTTTACAGTTGGATTTAACCTCCCAACACCTGGTGACAGAGGGCAGTGCTGTTATCTCCATTGTATAGATGGGGAACTGAGGCACAAAGAGGTTACGTGACTTGTCCAAGATCACACAGAAAGTTTGCGGCAGAGCAGGGAATTGAACCTGGAATGCCTAGTCGGGTGCACTTATTGCTGGACCACCTGTCTTCTCTCAAAAGAGGTGTCACTTGTAGTTCTGGTGCCTTGCCAAATTCCTACTTGGATAATTACACTGTGCAGCCCTAAATGCCCTCTCTAGGTTCTGTGGGATATAATTGTCTTTATTTTCTGCCTCAGCCTGTTGTGCACCATTGCTGTGCACTGTCGAAAGCTGCTGTGTTCCACCCCAGAGGTGGCTGTCCTTCAGTGGTAAGAGCAATGCAACATGACCATGGCAAAGTAATCTGACCTCTGTGCGCCTCAACATACCCCAGGGTAACATTTGCACTCAAGGAGGGCATTGGGAGCGCTAAATTGATATTGTTTATAAAGTGCTTGAGATTCTCAGCAAAAGAGTCTGTAGAAAGAGAAAGTAGGTGAATTTGTGCATATTTGCTATAAAATGTGTGTATTTGCTGTTCTTAAAAAGCATCCTTCATGTTAGAAAATGTGACTCATGAGGGGACCTATTCCATGTTCAAAAGAGCAGAGAAAGGTCTAAAGTCTCCTTGGGTACTGATTAATTTTCAGGCCTATTGAAATAATAGACACTCTGTGATAGTTTATTCTGTTAATATCGGGACAGCACATTTGAGAATAGCAAAGTTAATGAGAAACTGTAATTCAGACGGAATATCTGCTTCTGACGAGCGCTGACGTTCCCTGTTCACCACTTTGCTTTCCAGTGGCTGCAGGGTTTTGTAAATGAGTCAGTTAGGTCTATTTTGAGAGAAAGACGCACATATGCTCTCTCACCCATTCCATTCTCTATTGGTCCCTCTGGGTTTCCACTCAGGATTTAAGCTGTCTGTGCTACCTTGCTCAT